TGCCCTGCCCTGCTCCAACGTAAACAACAGACACGCACACAACAAACAAGCACAGGTGGCTCTTGGTGGCGAGGCAACACCCTTCTCAACAGTCCTTCATCATCGCCCCATCTCCACAGGCTTTTGGCTCCGGTCACCCGACGCCACAGCGGCGTGGGCGTGGACCTATCTACAAGCCTGGTTCGAATGATCGGGCCCCGACAAAACTCCGCCCAAGTTGTAACCACACTCACACATCAATTCAGTCGTGCCTTTAAACCCCTTAAAAGTCACCCCTCCCACTCACCTAGCTCTCCTCCGGCGTGGCAGACAACCAGCAGGCTTGACACCTGGCCCACTCAGAGCCTCAATGCAAATACCAACAGTACCTCTCAAACCATCTACGCGACACCCCCATGGCTCGCCAAAGCCGCCTCCTTGGCCACTGTCTCAGGGTCATAGCAACACCTGACGCAGTACCCGCGAAAGAACAAGGTGGCCGCGAAATATAGCACAAAGCACCCAGATGCTCCCCACGCCAACACTTGAAACAGCTACAGGTCATTAAAGTACAGCAGAGAGTCACGGCCCAGGTCGCAGCCGCGCACACGCGCATCAACATGAGAGCTAAAACAAACAAAGGCAACGCCGAGCTCTCCAACCACAGATAACTGACAGCCGCCAAACTCACAATCTCAATCTCAATGCCATACAGGCGCTCAATGGAGAAGGGCAAGGCCAACAGATAGAGCAGAATGGCAAGGTAGATGGCCATGCTAGGCATCAACAACATCGGCCCGAGACGCTTGAAAAAAAGCCCAATGTGCCTAGCACCATCAACCACGTTGTCCCACCCATGCATCACGGCATGAAGCACAAGAAAAGGAGAGCAAACGCCCACAACAACGACAACAACGACAACGCCTGTTCCGCCGATGCACATTGCACCCAGTCGTTCTTGGTTGTCTCAACTTACGTCAGTGGGATGAGGGAAATATTCATCTGGTACACTGTCGCCAGAAAGGTGGCCGCCAAGCTGCAGCAAAGCGACGAAAAGATACAGACGACATACATGCGCGAAAACTCCAGCGAGATGGCGCTTCCAGTGCCAGATGGTGCCAACCCCTAGCAACCCACACAGGTACCGCGGGGTTTGGCTGCAATGTTCCTAATGCCATTCCCAATGCCCTGCTCCGCCTCCCTGCCAACCAAGGAAACACTCGCCTTTTGCAGGGTCAGAAACGAGACGCCTGCCAGCAGGGCTCCAACAAGAGAGATGCCCGACCAGACGCCGGCCATCGACCAGACGCCCTCCACGGCGCTGGGGTCGTCGGCATTGTACGTGAGAGGCCGTCGCCACGCCTGTACGAAATAAATTCAGTGCATGGGCCGACAGCACGACCCCAAGCATCAGCCTGGCCCAGTGTATGTCGGCGCTCTACATGCCCATGTACGTCAACAAGGGGACATCTTGTCTCGCAGTTGGCCAGGGCGCGACGAGGCGCGTACTCGCTCTTCGAAACAATAAACGCCACGCGCAGGGCGCAGGGCGCAGGGCGCAGGGAACAATGCGCAACGGACACAAGGCGCAACGGGCACAAGGCGGAACGCGCAAGTTGAGACTGTCTTGAAGCTCCCTCTACCCACAATTGGCCCCAGCTAAACTCGCGGTCCAAAAGAGGCAATTGTCTGCAAGGGTCGCCCTGCAACGGGCAAGGCACAGCGCGCACCCTGCTCTTGCCAGCAGCGCCGCTATCGCGATGGTCTTCCACAAGGAAGACAGGCCCCTAATGACCGAGGCCGTGCCCTCAGGCCTCGCCTTGCTCTCGGTCGACCACGTCGAGACAGAATCACACAGAGAGAGGGAGAGACAGACAGAGAGACAGAGAGAGAAGAGAGAAGAGAGAGAGAATCAATTCGAATTCAAAGCTTTCAAAACATCAAGCAGCTTTTGGCTGTCGGGCGCTGCTGTGGCTTCCCCTCTCACACAATGCTCCATCGACTCGATCAGGCTCGGCAGCTCCTTAAGCGCGTGCTCCTCGTGCACCGTCGGATGCGCCGCCCTGTTACCATCGCTGCGCACACTATTCAATGCATTGAAAAAGTCGTCCAAATTACCCAGTCGTGGGAGCACGTCAGCATACGCTTGGACTGCCCACTCCTGAAGGCCCGGCTTCCACTTGTAAAACAAGGTGTGGAAATCTTCTGTGTCTGCTGGACACCCCTTCTGCGGAACGCGACCTCGGAAGCCATCGTCTTGCGCCACCTGTGCGGTGGCCCAGTCCATGTACTTGAACAGCAGACGAAGCCGGTGGATGTCATCGTCACACGGCCATGAACAAGAGTCACTCGGCCAAAAGCGCTCGCGCACGATTGTGGCGAGCTTGATGATGATTTGGCGCTTCAAGATGGGATACTTCAGCGTTTGCCGGATCGTTTGAAGCTCCGCCTGCACCTCCTCCATCTGTTGTGCGTGTTTGGTTTGCATTTGCTCGATCTGTTCCTCTTGTCGCTTGTTGACGGCTTGTTGTTCCTCCATCTGTCGCGCGTGTTTGGTTTCCATTTCTTGCAACTTACCGAGCATCTCGGCTCGAAAGTCAGCAAACGGAAACTCGTCCAGCTCGCCTTCAATCAAATTCAGGCGATTCTCAGACCCGTCCATTTGAGCAAGGGCCTCTTTGACCTTGGACATTCTGCTCCAAGCATTCATGTCACTGCTGGCGTCGATCGAGACGTGTTCAACACCAGACAAAACCCCGTGCTCATTCCACAGCTTCGAGCGCACGTTCTCGGATTTATTCTTGTAGGGCTCGTAGAGTGCGTGCTGCTTCTCCTCCAGCTCGCTACACTTGGCATCTACAACAAAGGCACGATCGGTGAGGTCTGCCCGCTAAATGGCCCGTGCTGCAGATACAAAGCCATTCAACTTACCAAGGTCGCGACACTTGACGAGGTGGGGAGTAACATCCCACCAAGTCATGTTGTTGGTCCGAGGACACCACCACGGCTCACATACACACCAGGGGCGGCTCGAACCCTAACCCTAACCCGAGGGCGATGGGTAGCTGTCAAGCTGACAACGACAACAAAAGTGGGGAAGCGGGGGCAAAGGCGGGGAAAGCCTCGGGAAATGGCAGACCGTGCCGTCGCCTTGCAAGGGTGATATCACAGCACGGTCAATCACAAATTAGGCAGCGTCCTCTCGATGAAGCAATAAAGCGATCGAGCGATGGAGTAATGAAGCGATGAAGTAATGAAGCGATGAAGCGATGAAGCGATGAAGCGATGAAGCGATGAAGCGAAAGAGCGATGAAGCAATGAAGCAATGAAGCGATGAAGCAACAAAGCAACAAAGCAACAAAGCAACAAAGCAACAAAGCGATGAAGCAATGGGAAGCTGCCAAGCCGACAACGAAACAAGGGCCAAAGCCAAGGGAAGCCTCTTGGAAAATGCCACATCGTGCGTGTTTCGCCCAGATAATATCTCAGCACGGGCAGACCAGACTCTAAAATTAGACGATGCGGTGTCTTTTTGGGTGGTTCAAAGTGAAGCTGGCACATTAGCTATTGCAAAGTAGCAGCGTGCAAAAAGGGCAGCCGTGGTATATTCACCACTACCACACCTAGTGAAGAAGCTCAAATCCTTCAGCCCGCGGACAAAGTAGTCTTGCATATCATGAGCTTTGTTCAAGAAGGGACAATTCTGTGTTGCATTTCTCATCGTGGGCGAACTGGGGACGCTGTTATCCTGAGCCAAGCAACTTGACCCCTGCCGACCTTGGTCGAGACGTGCCGTAATGACTCGTGCTTGGACCCCTTAGGCTGCAGGCAACCAACGCAGGTGGCATCCACCACGGTCACGTCGCCGGTCGCCTCACGAAGACATTTGCCGATTGCGGTGCGCTTGTGTGCTGCTCTTTTTGTCGATCAGTCTGTGCTGCAGGGTCAGAAACGAGGCACCTGTCATCATGCAGGGCTCCAACAAGAGAGATGCCCGACCAGACGCCGGCTACCGACCAGACGCCCTCCACGCGGTCATAGACGGCGCTGGGCTCGTCGTCAACATTGTACGTGAGCGGCCGTCGCCACGCCCGTACGAAATAAATTCAGTGCACGGGCCGACAGCACGACCCCAAGCATCAGCCTGGCCCAGTGTATGTCGGCGCTCTACATGCCCATGTACGTCAACAAGGGGACATCTTGTCTCGCAGTTGGCCAGGGCACGACAGGGCGCGTACTCGCTCTTCGCAACAATAAACGCCACGCGCAGGGCGCAGGGCACAAGGCGCAATGCGCAACGGACACAAGGCGCTACGGGCACAAGGCGCAACGTGCAAGTTGAGACTGTCTTGAAGCTCCCACTACCCACAATTGGCCCCAGCTAAACTCGCGGTCCAAAAGAGGCAATCGTCTGCAAGGGTCGCCCTGCAACGGGCAAGGCACAGCGCGCACCCTGCTCTTGCCAGCAGCGCCGCTATCGCGATGGTCTTCCACAAGGAAGACAAGCCCCTAATGACCGAGGCCGTGCCCCCAGGCCTCGCCTTGCTCTCGGTCGACCATATAGAGACAGAACCACACAGAGAGAGACAGAGAGAGAAGAGAGAGAAGAGAGAGAGAATCAATTCGAATTCAAAGCTTTCAAAACATCAAGCAGCTTTTGACTGTCGGGCGCTGCTGTGGCTTCCCCTCTCACACAAAGCTCCATCGACTCGATCAGGCTCGGCAGCTCCTTAAGCGCGTGCTCCTCGTGCACCGTCGGATGCGCTGCCCTGTTACCATCGCTGCGCACACTATTCAATGCATTGAAAAAGTCGTCCAAATTACCCAGTCGTGGGAGCACGTCAGCATACGCTTGGACTGCCCACTCCTGAAGGCCCGGCTTCCACTTGTAAAACAAGGTGTGGAAATCTTCTGTGTCTGCTGGACACCCCTTCTGCGGAACACGACCTCGGAAGCCATCGTCTTGCGCCACCTGTGCGGTGGCCCAGTCCATGTACTTGAACAGCAGACGAAGCCGGTGGATGTCATCGTCACACGGCCATGAACAAGAGTCACTCGGCCAAAAGCGCTCGCCCACGATTGTGGCGAGCTTGATGATGATTTGGCGCTTCAAGATGGGATACTTCAGCGTTTGTCGGATCGTTTGAAGCTCCGCCTGCACCTCCTCCATCTGTTGCTCGTGTTTGGTTTGCATTTGCTCGATCTGTTCCTCTTGTCGCTTGTTGACGGCTTGTTGTTCCGTGAGCTCGTCCCGCACCTCCTTGATCTGTTCCTCTTGTCGCTTGTTGACGGCTTGCTGTTCCGTGAGCTCGTCCCGCACCTCTTTGTTGACGGCTTGTTGTTCCGTGAGCTCGTCCCGCACCTCCTTGTTGACGGCTTGTTGTTCCGTGAGCTCGTCCCGCACCTCCTTGTTGACGGCTTGTTGTTCCGTGAGCTCGTCCCGCACCTCCTCCATCTGTCGCGCGTGTTTGGTTTCCATTTCTTCCAACTTACCGAGCATCTCGGCTCGTAAGGCAGCATACGGAAACTTGTCCAGCTCGCCTTCAATCAAATTCAGGCGATTCTCAGACCCGTCCATTTGAGCAAGGGCCTCTTTGACCTTGGACATTCTGCTCCAAGCATTCATGTCACTGCTGGCGTTGATCAAGACGCGTTCAACACCAGACAAAACCCCGTGCTCATTCCACAGCTTCGAGCGCACGTTCTCGGATTTATTCTTGTAGGGCTCGTAGAGCGCGTGCTGCTTCTCCTCCAGCTCGCTACACTTGGCATCTACAACAAAGGCACGATCGGTGAGGTCTGCCCGCTAAATGGCCCGTGCTGCAGATACAAAGCCATTCAACTTACCAAGGTCGCGACACTTGACGAGGTGGGGAGTAACATCCCACCAAGTCATGTTGTTGGTCCGAGGACACCACCACGGCTCACATACACACCAGGGGCGGCTCGAACCCTAACCCTAACCCGAGGGCGATGGGTAGCTGTCAAGCTGACAACGACAACAAAAGTGGGGGAGCGGGGGCAAAGGCGGGGAAAGCCTCGGGAAATGGCAGACCGTGCCGTCGCCTTGCAAGGATGATATCACAGCACGGTCAATCACAAATTAGGCAGCGTCCTCTCGATGAAGCAATAAAGCGATCGAGCGATGGAGTAATGAAGCGATGAAGTAATGAAGCGATGAAGCGATGAAGCGATGAAGCGATGAAGCGATGAAGCGAAAGAGCGATGAAGCAATGAAGCAATGAAGCGATGAAG